TTAGTTCTATATTATATATACTTTTACAACAATATTTCACACCGAAAATCATTGGTCAGTTGTATTATTTGTTTCAAAGTATAGCTGACTATATTTCTGCAGCAATGGTTAGCCAGTTAGCGCCTACAATTGTGTACTGAAATTAGGGACCTAACGGTTTCGTGTTTGTGAATGCATCTGCCTGTGTTTGTATTGTTATAACCAGGGTCTGCTTTGTATGACATAAGCAGTATACACAAAGTCAGTTATTTCAAATGTAATGTAATTTCCATAACAAAAAATCTTGAAGCTATTACCTACTGATCAGAAAAGGGCTCATTAGCACCTAATCGCCAAATACTCGGATCCAAAGTAACAATAATATCCATCTTAAGTATTTATTTTTATATATATAACCCACACAGCATTCTGAGTTCTAACGAAACAGAATGCCCTGACATGAACCTCTCAAACAGATTCCATGTGTGGTGAAGAACGGCACATGTATTAATAGTCTGTGCATCCCTTTAAGTTGTAGCTGCTTGCTTCGACCACACCCCTGTTTAGTGCGGACATATCGTCAGCCATTTGTGTCAAGGTCGTTTATTTGAGGGTCAAAATCGGTTTTCAATCGACTTGCAGAAATAACAATATTGAATTGGTAGGTGTCGTTGGTGGTGCTCGATAGGCCAATAATCCATGATTATGTTTACATAAACTTTTAATCGAATGCATGCGATGGTAGCGTATCGATCAGCAAAGCAGGCGGGTGGGGTACACCGAAGGGTCCGGGTTTGTCATGATGTATTGTACTGTGAAACATTTCCAGTCGGGGGTCATCTCAAAATCAATATATACAAATTAAACTTTAATCCTCGGAAAGGCACGAGTGCCTGTGGCAGAGGTGGGAATAATTCCGCAAGAGCGACTTCGTCAACTTAATCAGTCTGTGCCGAGACAGTGCCGAGGGGTAATTGCTGCCAATGGTGGCCTTACGAAGTAGTGTACGGAAAACACAACGATTAAGTCTGCTGTTGTGTTGGCGACCTCTTGTCTATAGACGTGCGAACTCGCACCTTTCTAACATTGAAATTACATGATATAATTGCTCTTAAACTAAATAATTCTTCTGAAAATGTCTATGCGTTTCTTTTTTTGAAAATTGTACTTACATATAAAACGACAAAACTAAAAACATATTGATCTTAGTTAACGGCATGATGAGAATTGATGAAATATATCGCCGAATATCAGTGTTATCGAACTTCGCGTCAAATTCCATGCAAGTTTAACGTCTCGTGGACCAAAATGCATGCATGACTAGTGACTCCTTGCTGTGTGTATGAGAAACAATAAATACCTCAGCTCCCAGATACTGGTCAACCGTCCTGTTGTTTAAACACAAGTCCTTCAAGGTTGTCGCTTCATGAAGACACCGAGTAACCTTTCAGACAACACCGTACCACCTTGTAACAACTTACAGAGCAATGTCGTACAATTCTGTCCGGTTGTATGAACGTGCAGAGTCTGGTGATACTGTTCAATACCCTTGCAACTAAACTATGAAAGTCTTATCGCAGCATGGAAAGGTCAAAGTTGATCACAGCAGGAGGGGAGTAATAGGTTGCCCAGTTCAACATTATTCAAACATTCCAGACAGCTGCCAGGGTTTATGTCAATACAACTCATTAAATTCAACCCATCCTCACGACTGGAACCCCCATACCTACCCACCTGTACATCACACCTACCCACCTGTACATCACAACTCCACAGCTGTACATCACAGCTCGCTACCTGTACCTCACAAACACCCACCTGTACCTCACATCTCCCTAGTTTTACCTCACACCTCCCCAGCTGTGCCTCACACCTCCCAGGCTGAACCTCACGCCTCCCCAGCTGTACCTCACACATTCTCAGATGTACCTCACACCTCCCTACCTGTAACTCAAACCTTCCTACCTGTTCCTCACACTTCCCTAACTGTACCTCACACCTCCCTACCTGCACCTCACACATCCCTACCTGTGCATCACACCTCACCAAATGTACCTCACACCTCCCCAAATGTCCCTCACACCTCCCTAGCTCGACCTCACACCTCCCCACTTGTGCATCTCACCTCCCTAGCTGTACCTCACACCTCCCCAGCTGTCCCTCACACCTCCCTAGCTGGGACCTCACACCCTCACACCTCCTAGCTGTACTGCACCTGCTGTACCTCACACCTCCCTACCTGTACCCTCACACCTCCCTACTCTGTACTCTCACACCTTCCTAGCTGTACCTCACACCTCCCCTTGTAGCTGTTCCTCACACCTCCCTAGCTGTAACCTCACACCTCCCCACCTGTGCCTCACACACCTCCCCAGCTGTACCTCACACCTCCCCAGCTGTACCTCACACCTCCCCAGCTGTACAACTCACACCTCCCCAGCTGTACCTCACACCTCCCCCAGCTGTACCTCACTCACACTGCTGCAATCCCCCCAGCTGTACCCTGCTTTACAGTTTTCGTGCTGTTCCCCACTACTCTGATTTTGCCTCAACCTTCTCTGGGGCACTTCACCCACAGCACTTCTATTCCAAGAAGATAGCTATATTATACAGAATGAGTTCATTGAAGCTAATTACCTCAATACCTTGAAGGAAACGGTTACATTCGTTGATCGCTACTTCCACGGTTTATCCTACTTTTGACCAGCTTATCTCTATGACACTTTGTACAAGAACATCAACCACTGACTTAACACTCAACGCGCAACACTCCAAGTCCACTGAATGTATTGCCTGTTGTCACAGCCCGACAATTCACCGACATTCTGACTTCATGAGTGAGTGAGTTCAGTTTTACGCCGCTTTTAGCAATATTCCAGCAATATCACGGCGGGGAACACCAGAAAAGGGCTTCACGCATAGTGTCCATGTGGGGGAATCGATTCCGGGTCTTCGGTATGACGAGCGAACGCTTTAACCACTAGGCTACCCCACCACCCATGACCTATTAATGAGGCGTCCGTGGTACAATTGCAAAATTCAGTTAGTGTTTGTGAGAGAAGAGAAGAGATTCTTCGACAACATAATTATAAGAAAAACATGCTCAAGCCTTCCTATGTCTCCACCCTACTTTCCAACTTCAAGTCCACATTCCGTCGTTGCTACCGTTGCGACAAGTTCATATCACATCGCATATCAATCTGTTATCTGAGTAATATGAGACCAGAGCATGACCTCGAGAATACTGTGCGGGCGTCACCCGTGGTCTCGGTTAGACTATTGATCTTTAGTAACCTATGCTTGTCGTAAGAGACAACTAACGGGATCGGGTTGCAGTCTCGCTGACCTGGTCGACACATGTCAACGGTTCCCAATTGCGCAGATCGATGCTCATGCTGTTGATCACTGGGTTGTCTGGTCCAGACTCGATTATTTACAGACCGCCGCTATATGGCTGGAATATTGCTGAGTGCGGCGTAAAACTAACCTCTCTCACTCAAACTCACTGAGCGGGCGGGTTGACTGAGTGTACGGGGAGATTCAGTGTATTTATAATTCAGTCGTGGAAAAATTTACCTAATTTATCAGAAATAACTCTTTCCTATATAGTCTGTACAATCAAAGATGTGAATATTTATTCGGACCAAGCATTGACTGCATCCCAGTTTTGTTGTAAACTGTCAGATATCTTCACGCCTTTAAACTTTTTTATTGAAATTTTAATTGACATTCTGTCAATGTCCTGGAGTGTTTGTTTGTTGTTTAGCTACACATTAATTCCAGTTTTAGGACACATAAATTAACACAAGTCATGTTGTCCTTGGCAACAGCTCAAGATGTTATCAGAGAAAGTGAGATTACATGCCATCAATCTGTTGGATCTGAGTGCGGCGTAAAACATTTCTCTCTCACTCCAAACTTGGCAACAGCCCAAAGGTTAATCAGGGAAAGTGGATTACATGGATCATGTACATTTGCTCTTTAAATTAGATAATCCTTCAGAAAATGGCTTATGCCTTTCTTGTTCAAGAGTTTACTTACATATAAAAACATAAAGATCTTAGTAAACGGCATGATGAGAATTGATGACATATATCGCCGAACATCAGTGTTAGCGAACTCTGCGTCACATTCCATGCAAGTTTAACGTCATGGACCAACATGCATGCATGACTAGTGACTCCTTAATGTGTGAATGAGAAACAATAATTACTTCAACTCCCAGATACTGGTCAACCGTCCTGGTATCTAAACACAACTCCTTCAAGGTTGTCACTTTATGAAGACACTCAGTAACCTTTCAGACAACACCGTACCACCTTGTAACAACTTACAGAGCAATGTCGTACAATTCTGTCCGGTTGTATGAACGTGCAGAGAGTCTGGTGATACTGTTCAATACCCTTGCAACTAAACTATGAAAGTCTTATCGCAGCATGGACAGGTCAAAGTTGATCACAGCAGGAGGGGAGTAATAGGTTGGCCAGTTCAACATTATTCAAACATTCCAGACAGCTGCCAGGGTTTATGTCAATTCACCGACATTCTGACTTCATGAGTGAGTGAGTTCAGTTTTACGCCGCTTTTTGCAATATTTCAGCAATATCACTGCAGGGAACACCAGAAATGTGCTTCAAACATTGTATCTATGTTTGGAATCGAACCCGGGTCTTCAGTATGACGACTGAACGCCTTAACCACTAGGCTACCCACCACCCATGACCTCATGCGTATTATTGAGGCGTCTAGGTAAAATTGCAAAATTCAGTTAGTGTTTGTGAGAGAAGAGAAGGAATTTTTCGACAACATTTAAAAATGACATGTTCAAACCTTCCTATGTCTCCACCACACTTTCCTGCTTCAAGTCCATATTCCGTCGTTGCTACCGTCGCGACAAGTTATTATCACATATCAGCCTGTTATCTTAGTAATATGAGACCAGAGTATGACCTCGAGAATACTGTCTAGGTTAGAATATTGATCTGCAGTAAGCTATGCTTTCAGTTTCAGGACACAAAAGTTTACACAAGTCCTGTTGTTCTTGGCAACAGCACAGCTGTTACCAGAGAAAAAATGAGATTACATGACTCAATCTGTCTGAATATTATAGACATATTTCCATATGTCAGGACACCCTGCACTTCGTCAACTAGGTCACACACCACTCGTCTGGGGAGACCCGTGAAGATCCGGGTTAGAATTGTATTCAACCCATTGTCGTAGGAGGCGACTGACGGGATCGGGTGGTCAGGTTAGCTGATGCTCATGCTGTTGATCACTGAACTACAGACCGCCGCCATATTGCTGTACGATTGCTGAGTGTGGCGTAAAACTGAACTCACTCACTGTTTGTGAGGATATTTCTTTCCCCTTTTTCTCATTATTTTTATAAAAGTGTACATGACGATTGGATATTCATACATACAATATACAATGGTTGGTCCAAATGATGTGCATGAATATTTACTGAAATTAGTGCCGATACGTTATCGAAGCGATCGGCAAAACTACTTTCTGATCATTTTTGTCATTATGACAGTGCTTTCTAACACAGCTAAACAACGTACAAACCAACGAAACTGCCAAACTATTTGCCTCAAAATCTACATGTAGATGATGATTTATCCAAAGTCATGATTAAGGATAGCCCGTCCTCCCTGTCTGTACCTTGGGCTAGCATGTGTAGCCCGTCCTCCCTGTCTGAACCTGGGGCTAGCATGTGTAGCCCGTCCTCCCTGTCTGTACCTTGGGCTAGTGTCTGTAGCCCGTCCTCCCTGTCTGAACCTGGGGCTAGCATGTGTAGCCCGTCCTCCCTGTCTGTACTTGGGGCCAGCATGTGTCGCCCGTCCTCCCTGTCTGAACCTTGGGCTAGCATGTGTAGCCCGTCCTCCCTGTCGGAACCTTGGGCTAGCATGTGTACCCCGTTCTCCCTGTCTGTACCGTGGGTTAGCATGTGTAGCCCGTCCTCCCTGTCTGAACCTTCGGCCAGCATGTGTACCCCGTCCTCCCTGTCTGTACCTGGGCCCAGCATGTGTAGCCCGTCCTCCCTGTCTGAACCTTCGGCCAGCATGTGTACCCCGTCCTCCCTGTCTGTACCTTGGACTAGCATGTGTAGCCCGTCCTCCCTGTCTGAACCTTGGGCTGGCATGTGTACCCCGTCCTCCCTGTCTGTACCTTGGGCTAGCATGTGTAGCCCGTCCTCCTTGTCTGAACCTGGGCCCAGCATGTGTAGCCCGTCCTCCCTGTCTGAACCTTGGGCTAGCATGTGTAGCCCGTCCTCCCTGTCTGTACCTGGGGCAAGCACGTGTAGCCCGTCCTCCCTGTCTGAACCTTGGGCTAGCATCTGTAGCCCGTTCTCCCTGTCTGTACCTGGGGCTAGCATGTGTAGCCCGTCCTCCCTGTCGGAACCTTGGGCTAGCATGTGTAGCCCGTTCTCCCTGTCTGTACCTGGGGCTAGCATGTGTAGCCCGTCCTCCCTGTCGGAACCTTGGGCTAGCATGTGTAGCCCGTTCTCCCTGTCTGTACCTGGGGCTAGCATGTGTAGCCCGCCCTCCCTGTCTGAACCTGGGGCTAGCATGTGTACCCCGTCCTCCATGTCTGAACCTGGGGCAAGCATGTGTAACTAATCCTCCCTGTCTGAACTAGGCCTAGTGTCTGTAGCCCGTCCTCCCTGTCTGAACATGGGGTAAGCATGTGTAGCCCTTCCTCCCTGTCTGGACCTGGGCCCGGCACATGTAGCCGTCCTCCCTGTCTGAACCTTGGACTAGCACGCGTAGCCCGTCCTCCCTGTCTGTACCTGGGGCTGGCATGTGTAGCCCGTCCTCCCTGTCTGAACCTGGGCCGAGCACGTGTAGCCCGTCCTCCCTGTCTGAACCAGGGGTTTGCATGTGTAGCCCGTCCTCCCTGTCTGAACCCATGCTCAGCATGTGTAGCCCGTCCTCCCTGTCTGAACCCATGCTCAGCATGTGTAGCCCGTCCTCCCTGTCTGAACCTGGGGCTAGCACGTGTATCCCGTCCTCCCTGTCTGAACCTGGTGTTAGCATGTTTAGCCCGTCCCCCCTGTCTGAACATGAGCCCAGCATGTGTAGCCTGCCCTCCCAATCCCGTCAGAACCAAACCTGTACCTTCTCAAATTTGCCAATTTACCCCCGACAATGTCGCTTCTCTCTCAAATTCAATCGAGAGTTACAGCGAGGTGAACTAGGTGACCCTCACATTTTATCAACAAGGTTGCAGCCTTTCCAATGAAAGTCCATACCCCGAGAATGTAACGTGGGCACAGTCCACTGTGTGTGTAGGGAACACGACTAGCTTTAGTCGGCAAAACAGCCGTCAGTATCAAATAAATCTGTTTCACACTCCAAGAAGCTACATGCATGACAAAAAACGTTTTTGTTCATTATTCAGAACAGTTTCTTCTTTACTTGATTAGTCAGTTTTTGACAACCTTTCACCCCTCGCGTTTCTACTCATAGTTCGGCCTACTCTTTATCTCTTATCAGCAAACAGTTTCCCCTCTTGCCAACAGCATCATCGATTTTATGATAATATCATTGAATGTAAAATGTGCATGGATGCCGTGGGTTTTCGTTTTAAACAATACTGCAACGCCAGCATCATTACAGCAGAAGACTGCGGCAAGTGTCCCACCAGAAAGTGATATGTAACGTGGGGTCTTGGGTAGGACTGACCGCAGTGAACTGTGACATACCAGGAACTGATTAGTAACGTGGGGTCTTGGGTAGGACTGACCACAGTGACGTGTGTCCCACCAGGAAGTGATATGTAAGGTAGGGTCTTGAGTAGGACTGACCACAGTGAAGTGTGACCAACCAGGAAGTGATACGTAAGGTAGGGTCTTGGGTAGGACTGACCACAGTGAAGTGTGACCAACCAGGAAGTGATACGTAAGGTAGGGTCTTGGGTAGGACTGACCACAGTGAAGTGTGACCAACCAGGAAGTGATACGTAACATAGGATCTTGGATTGGACTGAGCACAGTGCGGTGTCCGAATCCACATTTGGAGCTACCATTCTACACTGACGTTTCTACAATGCAAACAAACTACAAAATAACGCTAAGTCTGTTTTCCACGCTGTTTATTAAAGCATCTTAGTAGCAATATGCATTAAAAAGGCAATGAGGCGACAGTAAAATATCACACATAAGAATACAGTTTCGATTGGAAAATCTTGTACGTGAATATCAGTGAACGTCACACTTAGATGAGTAGAGTTTTTATTCATTAAGTACACAATCCCATTCACAAAGGGACTATGATGCTGTTCCATGTCGAGATCGCGTTAGGAAATAGGTAACTCCCGACTGTGTAAGGATGTGGACCATGTGTGAAAAATATCAATTTTCTGTGTGTTTTTTTTTATCATTTTCTCCGAAACAGCTCGCATAACGAGGTCCCACAAACTGTTCCGGAATCTGTTTGAAACATCCTGCATACATGTACAGTTCACTAGAAGGCACAGTTAGATGTTGGTGTTTCTGTTTTCTTATACGATTTTCGCTGGCAATGTTAAACTTCTGAAAGCAGCTACTGACACTAAACCGATTTCTTCTTATACACACATTTTATCTCCTGCACAGAAATGAAACCTAATGCTTCCATCAATGACTCTTATCGGTCAACAACAACAACATGTTCGTCAAACATAAAAATTGTAAGCCACTTGAAGACTTGTGATCACATGCTGGACGCGGTACTTGTACAGTAGTATACAAACCTGCATGCACATAGTGTTCTATGGACGGCACAGATGATGCTTGTTGTGGTTTTCAAATACGTTTATCACTGGTATGGGAAAGAAATTCAGAAAGCACCAAATATATACCTATCAGGAATAAAACTATAATTGACCTGATCATGGGTCCTAAACACCTTCCATCAATGATTCTTACTCTTCACCAATATAAAGACAGTAACGACCTGTTATTCAGTTTTGACCAGAAAGTGAGTTATATTTGATAATGATCCTGACAAACTGTAACCTTTGTTATTGCTCTCTTCCCAAAGCACATCTTTAATAAAACGCATTTGGGAGAATTGTGGGAAATTGCCAGTATATATCGAGAACTTCTTCAAAACAAAATAAAAATGTACAATATATCATGACATTCGTAGCAAATGTATCTGTATAGTTACAAAAGAGTGACAAATACTTTTTTTTGCATTGCACTAAGCAAACACTGACAATCAGATTCAGACCTCTGGGACAAAACAGTTCTCTGATAATCAGTGAGTTCAAGCATGGGAAAATGTCAGCTGAATTGGTCCTCAGAATATGAACAAAATAAAGAACCCGGAAGTCGGAAAAACGGAGTCGGCCAAAGCAAAAACTGTCAGCCATTTGATCTGGGCACCAGTCATGTTAAAGGTCAGATTAATCAGTTTCACTAGGTGGGCGTCGCGATTTTAAAGTTTTTAATAATAGACTCTTATCCAAGGTGAAACGTTTTGATCTTTCAACATTCAGGAGAAATAGCATCATGCTGCATTTGGTATCACCTTCTGTTGTCTGTCACAGCTATCTTGTCTCTTGGCACAAAGATGTAATCATTTGTAGTAACTATGTGACATGGATATCATAGGAACTCTTCCACAAAATCCATTCCTTAAATGCTGACACTCAGAAAATTGGCATTTTAAAAATTAATTATTTGACAAAATCACATACCTTTGATCTGATAAAGACGTAATTTTGGATACTTAACACAATGTGTAATTCGTACAGACGAAATGTATTGAAGTCTAAAGAAGTATGCTAAACTACTTCACAATTGGGAAACATACAGTATATGTATTGTTAACTCCTGCATGAAAATATACAAACCAGGAAAGTAAAAACAACATTAAACCATAGCGACTACAACGGTTCTCTTCTGTCCATTGTGATACAACGTTCAATGTAATACTACTACAACGGTTCTCCTCTGTCCATAATGATACAACGTTCAATGTTCACTATATTGCCTTTTTTCAGTTAATAATATTTACGTACACACATTATGCATGTTTCACATAATGTCAAAAGACTCATTGCTGCCTCAAAGTAGTTTGATGATATCGTGTCTGGAATTTGATAGATCAGAATCAGATCTTGACTTCCTCAGCTGTAGACCTTCAAGCCAAGTACTTCTCTCCTTTATCAATGATTTCTTCAGCGGTAGACCTTCAAGCCAAGTATTTGCCTCCTTTATCAATGATTTCTTCAACTGCAGTTTTTCAAGCCAAGTCTTGCCTCCTTTATCAATGGTATCTTCAACTGTAGTCATTCAAGCCAAGTACTTGCCTCCTTTATCAATGATTTCTTCAACTGCAGTCATTCAAGCCAAGTACTTGCCTTCGTTATCAATGGTATCTTCAGCTGCAGTCATTCCAGCCAAGTACTTGCCTCCGTTATCAATGATTTCTTCAACTGCAGTCCTTCAAGCCAAGTACTTGCCTCCGTTATCAATGATATCTTCAACTGCAGTCCTTCAAGCCAAGTACTTGCCTCCGTTATCAATGATATCTTCAACTGCAGTACTTCAAGCCAAGCACTTGCCTCTTTTATCAATGATTTCTTCAACTGCAGTCGTTCAAGCTGAGTACTTGCCTTCGTTATCAATGGTATCTTCAACTGCCAACTGCCGTCATTTAAGCCAAGTACTTGCCTCCTTTATCAATGATTTCTTCAACTGCAGTCCTTCAAGCTAAGTACTTGCCTCCTTTATCAATGATTTCTTCAACTGCAGTCGTTCAAGCTGAGTACTTGCCTTCGTTATCAATGGTATCTTCAACTGCAGTCATTCAAGCCAAGTACTTGCCTACTTTATCAATGATTTCTTAAACTGCATTCCTTCAAGATAAGTACTTGCCTCCTTTATCAATGATTTCTTCAACAGCAGTCATTCAAGCCAAGTACTTGCCTCCTATATCAATCATTTTCTCCACTGCAGACATTCAATCCAAGTACTTGCCTACGTTATCAATGATATCTTCAACTGCAGTCCTTCAAGCCAAGTACTTGCCTCCTTTATCAAGGATTTCTTCAACTGCAGTCATTCAAGCCAAGTACTTGCCTTCGTTATCAATGGTATCTTCATCTGCAGTCATTCCAGCCAAGTACTTGCCTCCGTTATCAATGATTTCTTCAACTACAGTCCTTCAAGCCAAGTACTTGCCTCCGTTATCAATGATATCTTCAACTGCAGTCCTTCAAGCCAAGTACTTGCCTCCTTTATCAATGATATCTTCAACTGCAGTACTTCAAGCCAAGCACTTGCCTCTTTTATCAATGATTTCTTCAACTGCAGTCGTTCAAGCTAAGTACTTGCCTTCGTTATCAATGGTATCTTCAACTGCCGTCATTTAAGCCAAGTACTTGCCTACTTTATCAATGATTTCTTCAACTGCATTCCTTCAAGCTAAGTACTTGCCTCCTTTATCAATGATTTCTTCAACTGCAGTCGTTCAAGCTGAGTACTTGCCTTCGTTATCAATGGTATCTTCAACTGCAGTCATTCAAGCCAAGTACTTGCCTACTTTATCAATGATTTCTTCAACTGCATTCCTTCAAGATAAGTACTTGCCTCTTTCA